CCATGTGCTACCCAACTGGAGCCAAACAGAGCCTCATGTATAGCTGGGATCTTCCTCTGGGGGAGAAGGTTCTGCTTCTCCTCACAAATAGACTCGACCCTAAGGTTATTAAAATACATCACTCTCTCTTTCTGTACCAATTTATGGTTAATCTTACTCAGACTCTGTGTGTGTTTAATTGGCGCGTGTGTGCTGTGTTTGTATATAGGTGAATGGAAGTGGGAACTTCTTTCTGTCCGAAGACAGCATCCGTAGTGGCTCTGGTTCAGTTGAGGGAGATAGTCTGGCCGAGGAGACCCACAAGCAGCAGGGAGAGGAGGAGGAGGAGGAGGAGGAGGAGGGGAAGGAGGAAGAAGAGGAGGGAGAGGAAGAGGGAGAAGAGGTGGCCGTTGGACAGGAGGTTACCCAGTATCAGGGAGGTATATACATATGTGGACGTGTTTCGTTGATCTTCACATCTGCTGAATTGAAAACCGTGGTACCGGCGAAGTTGACTTTTCACTTCCCAAAAAACTGAGGAGGCTGTCAGATGAAGTGAAGAAAAGCGTTGGGAGAACGTCTCAGAAGGATAAGTCAGTGGAAACTCATAGCGTCTACCACTATACATGCAGTCAAACCTTTGAAGAAGGACACTGAGTGAAGGAAATTCCTCTACATAGGACACTTTGTTCTGCCCCATACTTGATTAGATACCTCTGAGAAAATTCAATGTCCCCAAGATGTTCCTTTTTACTGTGCATGCACCTCCTCCTTCTATCACTATCTCCCCTCTCTCTTCCTCTCCCCCTCTCTCTCTCAGAAGAAGAATAAAGAAGAGAGTATACTGGATATCGTTCATGGATAGTCTCCAGCGAGTCCTGCTCCTAACGTCCAGTCACAGTCTGGTGAAGAGTGTGTCGAGTCAAGGAGGAACTACCAACAAGGAGCCACCACACACTGAGCTGTCCCTCTCCCTCATTGGAACTGGCCTCTCTCTAGTGGACGACCTGAGGGGCCAGGAGGTGACCTACATTGGTATCCCTCAGTAAGTCTTCCCCTTTGATAATACAATAGTACGTACTTAACATACCCTAGAGCATACCATAGTATATACACTTTCAACCATACATAATTATCATAGTACTATACCAACTTCTTACTGCCACCACATCCTTGTTTGATAGGAACTCTGTAAAGCGATGCTGTTTTACTCCAGGCTCTGCGTAGATCGGGGAAGCCTAAGAACCATTACGTATGTACGTAGTTCCGGTGGTGTATTATTCTAGGTCTATATTTGGCTGAGTAACCTGCTGTTTAGGGAAGTGTGTAGAGAAACTTCCCGTTAAGCTATGCCTGGTTATGCTGTAATGTTTACACATGAGGATCTTGTCCTGTACTGTATTATTGCTGGGTGTATTGGCAGAGTGACAGGGTTTCCTGCATTAGTTCTTGTGCACTATCAACAGTAGGTGGAATCACATTGCAGGGGCTTGAATGAATGCTGTATGCAGAGTTATCATGGTTTGCTGTTGTCTACCGTTTTATGTTGTTCATTGTCTAATGTTCTCTTACGACATACTGTGTATTCAACTACCGGTTTATACCTTCTATTCTTTCGCGACCTTCGTTTAGTAAACCATGCTTTATAAGAAACAAAACCGAATATATACTAACAAGGAAGCAATATTTGAGGTGGCGAGTAACTGATCACTTGCCCGCACGTTTACTCCCAAAACACCATGCATGACACAATTTTAGCAAAGGCTGGTAAAGACGGGGTACGTGTATGAAAAAGTAACCCCTGCTTCCCAGCTCTAGCTAAAGCCCCGATTACCTAACGCATCAATCTTGGCCAGGTCTCAGAAGGAGTGGCAGATTCGAGTCAAAAAGCTCTGGAAGGCTCTTCCTCACGATGTCAGCGATAAACTTGAGAAACTACACAACAGCCCCAGCAGCCAGAAGACCAAAGGAAGGCGACCGATCCCTGACTCTGTCTACGAGGTATGGTATATATCCTAAACTCTGTCACCTTTTTTTTGTTGAAAAGTCTGAATAATATAAGAGATACGATGAGTGCCAAAGTGTAAACATTTCCGTGATGTGTTTGTGATAGACCTGTTGTATGCGTCTGTGTTGAAACATAAACATTTGCAGTGCAAAGAGCGTGGGTGAGTGAAGTGTGGATAGGACCGCAATATATGTGATAAGTTGGTGCCAACACAAGAATTCTGTAACAGAGATAGTGTACAGGGAGACGCTGTTTAGCTATCATTGGAGCTGTCACTGTCAGAGTCTCTGTCACAAGAAGACGGTCTGTTGTTCTCTTTCTCCTCCTCCCTCTGCCTCCCCGGACCACTACTGCTGCTAAACACTCTCTTCTCCTTGGCCTTGATGTATATGTGGTAGGGGATGGGCTTTGGCGGGACAATCTTTCTCTTCTTGTCGGCGAGAACCTGCGATACTTTCTTGGGGATAGTTGGTGGTTTCGGTAGAGTTGGGGGCTTGGAGGAAGAGGAGGAGGAGGAGAGATGGGTGTGCTCGGGAGCGGTCGAGTTTGTTTTTTCTCCTCTGGACTGGAGAGACGGTTTCTTGGAGGCTACGGGTGGCTTCTTGCCCAAGTAAGCAGGTGGAGGTGTTGGCAGCGGTCGCTGTGGTGGCACCGGTCTCTTTCTCCCACCCTCCTCACCACCACTGTCTCCTTTGCTGGTGCTGTTTCTCCGATTCTTTCGCTTCAGAGCCACGTTGACTTGAGCATATATTGCATTTGGGTTGGGTTCCTCCATTGCTAAGACCTGAGACCATACAGTTGCTAACTTTTGCTAGTGACACTGTATATACTACAATTGACAGGCACACTGTATATACTAGAAGTCAGTTCTTTTCAATTCAGTCTCCTCTGTCGTCAACAGGCCTTTCCTTGCACTGAAACTGCTGTACTACTTGTGGTCACTACTGCTCTGGCTCCTTTTATACACAGAGCCCAATGTTGTCATTTCCTCCAAGTTAGAAAGGAAACGGAGCCCTCCTGGATTGTTTATCTAAGAACAGCCCTCCATATGGGCTGATAGTCCCCTAGGCATTTTATGCCCACAACCTCCTGCTTGCTTGGCAAAGCCTGTTCCAACACACTCACAGCAACAGTAAGTGGCCCATTATGACCTGCACATTACTTACGTATGCGTCATTGTATATACAGAACATGGTTTGCCTTATGGTACGTATGTTCCGTTATTATACTACAACTATGTGGATAAAAAAATAGTCATCGTCTTATGTACACATCCGATATACACTACTTGAGCCTTTTGCATGAATCACAGTATTAAACAAACGCTGAAAAGATCTCGTGGTTGACGTGGTTTGTGCGCCATCTTCAGGTTGACTTTACTCGGATGTACCTGTACGTGACCAAGACTGGATCCAAGAATAGACTGAGGAGGAGCCATTTCGAGGGAGTGTATGCTCGAGTCACCCTCTCCGAACACCTCACCTCAGTCAGCGTTAGAATCAGCCACGTCCAGGTCAGCCAGTCCGCAGTGATCCTTCTTTCTTGCCTTCTCCTCTTTTTCTAGCCTCTCTGGTGTTAGTGTCTGTCCCGCTGCAGGTTGATAACCAGCTGCCTCTGACTCTGCAACCAATCATCATGTATCCCTACCCTCCACCTCCCTCCATTGCCAGCTCATGTGGTAAGAGATACATACATTCGTACAATATTGCAAGCTTATGTGGCACAACCAGCCTTGCGCGTGACAACGCTCATCTCTCTATACTGTGACTCTGGCTGAGTCTCTCAAATCTGATTATTTTCCACGTGCATACACATTTTATCCTAATGACAAGGTAAGATTACGTAATGAGTAATACGTAAGCAGTCTACATAGAGTACGGGTGCTACACTTATGTTGTAAGAGGTGCAGTTCTAACCATTGCCAGCTCATGTGGTAACAGAGTCTTAAATCTAACCTTTTGTTAATTCAGCCTAACTGTATTAAGTGGGAGTGAGGAGGTGTATGGGGGAGGTTCAGTGTGCCAGAGAAACTATAGGTGGAACAGTGTGTTGATGGATTGTTATTCAGGATAAACTTGTTTCTGAGGTGTTGCGTTTTCCTCTGCTCCATTCTGCAGCTCCGAAGCCGTTCATCGAGGGGACATTGGTAATTCACAAGACGGAACAGTCCAACGTCTCTCAAATCCAGTAATTAGCACCAAGCTCCACCCCTCTCTGCGACCTCTGACCTCTTCCACGCAGGTTCCTCCAGGTCCTGGTCCAGGAGGTGGGAGTGAATCTGGACATGAGCTTCCTCATGGCTCTCCTGGGCCTCTTCTCAAACCTCTCCTCAAATTCCACTGAGGTGACCACTCACTGATATCCTTCTGTATGGTGGAACTCCTCTCTAAGGGTATATAGTACATCTTAAATAAGGACACCGCTCCAAGAGCAACTCTCGCATATAGAGCACTAATAATTGTGGGTACTCTATACTGTCCCATTGTGTCTTTAAAAAGGTAATAGGGGGTATTAGTGGTGGTACACAGATGTCTTTGTATGGTCATTACTCTACCCTAAGAGCCCCTGAGGAGGATGTTGTTGTTTGTGAAAGTGTGTCTTCACTTTTCGTTCCCAGGCCCAGATCGTCGGCAGGGAGGTGGAGTATGCAAAACTGCCTCTCAGGGAGTCAAAGTTGCAGCTGTGAGTGCAATTTTACGGATATTATGTCATACAGCTACTAGTATCAGGTTCTCAGACCCCTCCTATGAAATTGAGGGAAAAGGGGCTAACGTTTGCTTATGTAATGCAGCAGATCAGCATTATGGAAAATGGTCTGCAGAAAAGAGACTATTATTAGTGGACTGTTGCAGTGTTACAGTACATACATTCTTCCAACCGTGTACAATGTGTGTGAGTGTGTGTGTGTTTGTGTACTGTTTAGGTAAGTGCAGCTGTGTCTCGAAAGTACTTCAAACTCCTGCATCTTTCGCCACTCATTGTGAGTTTATATGAAAAGTAAACTGCTGGGTTTTTGAAAGCACCTGCTGTGGGGGTGCACACGTTTGCGTTTTCTGTGTGTGTGTCCTTCCAGATACACCTGAGCTTTTCTTTGGAGATGTCGGATCAAGAAGGAAAAGAGGCGAAAAAGGCGACAGAGACAAACATATTCATGAGCATGATCTTCAACGTCCTTCTCTCGTTTGCCACCATTGTTGGCAAGACCAAAGATGCCGAGTTGCAGTAAGCAATCCTATACGAGTCAATTCTAGTTTTGTTACCAAAAGGAAAAAGATCTTTAAAAACTAAGACACTAGGAATACTGCATTTGTCATATTTGCCAGAATTGTGTGACTGCTTAAGTTTCATCAGTTTCTTAAATGTGGCGGTATATATGGGCTAAATTTAGAAATGTAAACTAAAAACGGAATTCAATTGCATTCTTTCACTGTGCCCCTATTGTCAATTTAGCCCTTGTATACTGCCACATTCCCTTTAAATGTTCTAATGTTCTGCAGTCTTCGCTACTTTGAGCTGGAGAACGAAGCTCTCACACAACAGGCTCTCATGGACAGAGTCCAAAAGCACTACATACAAGAGGTCTCGCTTACAAATCCACACACAGTATAACTACGGCCCAGCATGCTTAGAGACTTGTATAGGGATAGGTGTGCTAAAGGGAATAATGTTGGTTTCTGTTTCCTGGCTTTCAGGGGTTGTATTACTCTGTAAATCTACAGAGTATATACTGCTGAGCTTCCTTGGTAGTTTAAGAGAGCCCTTGCCTTGTCTGGTCTTAGAATACTACCTGGGGTATTATTTGAGATTCTGCTACTAGCGGGATACCACGAGAAGGCATAAAAAGCCCAGCCCATCAATTAGTGGTACCGCACATGCGCAGTTCGCCGAGGGTTTGCACTTTAGTGCTTTTCATTTGAGAAGAGATTCTGCAAGTGACACTTCACATTGCCTTCTTCCCATTTTCCTACCTATCCTTAGAATCAAACTTGTGGTTGTTTGAGAAGGGAAAACTTTCCATTGCCTTATTCCCTGTCGTTCAGTTTTTGTATGTACATGTCCCCCATATGGCAGGGAGTGATTCAGATGTACAGTGTTGTGTTGGGTCTGGAGGTGTTGGGAAATCCAGTCGGATTTGTCAGAGGTCTCAAGAAGGGCACTGTGGGCCTCTTCTATCATCCACTCCAGGTATTATGTAACACATCATGTGTTTTTGGTGGATTCAACCAGTTTAGTTGGCATACTGTATAGTGGGTAGTTGGTGGTTTTGCATCTATGAAAGCTCCCTCAAAACTACTGTAATGTTTTGATGTCTGACTCCACTAGGGTGCGGTGTTGGGGCCAGAAGAGTTCATGGAGGGAGTGGTACTAGGGAGCAGAGAGTTTGTTGGAGGGACGGTGGGTGGGATCAGTGGGGTCCTGGGTAAGGTGACCGGGGTCCTGGGGGACACCGCTGCCAACCTCACCATGGACGAGGAGTTCCAGTCCCAGAGGAAGAGAGAGAGGACCCGGGGAAACGTGGGACAGAGTCTGGAGGGAGCTGCCAGGGTTTGTTTGAAAGGGGGAGCTATGGTGGTTGTAATGAAATGAGAGAGAAAGGGAAGGGTAAAGAGAGGGTCTGAAAGGAGCTTCCAGGTATTGAGAGTGTACTGTGGTAGAAAAAGAGTCTGGAGGGAGCTGCCAGGGTTTGTTTGAAAGGGGGAGCTATGGTGGTTGTAATGAAATGAGAGAGAAAGGGAAAGGTAAAGAGAGGGTCTGAAAAGAGCTTCCAGGTATTGAGAGTGTACTGTGGTAGAAAAAGAGTCTGGAGGGAGCTGCCAGGGTTTGGGGTATTTCGGTAAGAGGGACAGGGAGGGACAGAGAGGGTGGGTAGAAGAAAGAAGTGAGAGTTTTTTCCAAACAGGGGGTATTTGCTGGAGTCACAGGAGTAATTTCACAGCCTATCAAAGGTGAGTCACATACAAACGCCAGTAGCTGGTAGCCACCTCTGTCTGTGTCTGCAGGAGCCAAGAAGGAAGGACTGCTGGGTCTGGTGAAGGGGGCTGGGAAGGGAGTCCTGGGGCTAGTGTTGAGACCAACTGGAGGTCTCATTGACCTCACCAGTGCCACTTTCAACGCTGTCCAGAGGTAGGTGGGACGCCTAAAAAGCAGTAGACAACATTGTCGGGCTCTGATTTCTTGCTTGTAGGAAGACCAAGGTTGGTAATTATGACATTACACAGTTGAGGCCTCCTCGGTTCATCGGCCAACCAAAAGTGAGATACGTAGCACCACGCTATGTAAAAAATCATACTTTGCCCCCTTCTTCTCTTCTCTTGCAGTTTGTCTCTCCATACTCACCTCACAAGGCAGAGGGCTATGCTCTGTTCCTGGTCAGCACCGGCAGTCCCACTATAGTTAACCTATGATATATTCTCTCTCTCATACCCACAGGCTCTGGAAAATGGCCGACTGAGCGGAGATGGAGACATATACTTTGATTTCGTAGAGTTGGAAGAGAACCCTCTCAGAAACCTTCTCGTCACTAACAAGTTGGTCCATGCACTGTGGAACCCCCTCTCTCAGGACACACTTGATATGAGGACACCTCTCTAATAAGGACACCTTTTGTATCCCCCAAGACAGTCGTTGCATGCAATGTAATCCCTGGTATAAGAAGACACCTCACTATAATAGGACCCATTTCTTCTGTCCCACTGGTGGGCCAGATTGGGTTCCACAGCAGTCTCTTAACTTCTTATAGAGTTGTGCGCTAGCCATAAGCGTTTTTTTTGCATACTATAGTCGGTTTCTGGTGATAAAGAGGAATGCGATGTTTGACCGTTTCGAGGAGGAGGAGGTGGTGATGTTCAGAGACATGTGTGGCAAGACGAGAGCCGAGAGAAGCAGAGTGGTTGTCCCAGTCCTTGAGGAACAAGGGGTGAGAGCTTGCACATGGCAGTACCGTAATAATATTATGGCGGGAACCTTTCGAGGCTAGAAACTTTGGCGATTAGGTATAGTAACTAGGCGCGCAGAAACTTGCTGATTGCTTGTCTTCCGTAAACCTGCTCCACACCCAAAATTTTGCAGGAAAACTTTGCCAGTGACTCAAAATCCACTATTTCAAATTTACCACGATAATAGTAATAATCGTCGCAATAATAATTGCAGTGGTTTCTGAGCTCTAAGAAGAAGTTGCAGACGAGTTCAAGACAGCTGGAGGTGCCCAGTCCAAAGAAAGCTGCAGAAATAGTGAGCCTCGTGAACCAAGCCTACCAAGAATACCGCACCACGCAGACGAAAAAGTCAAGTTAGCTCTCTATCACCTACTTCTATAATAAAAACTCAGTTCAGTGTCTCAGAAAAACAGATGTACGTAGATATGGCAATATGTTGTTTCATGATACAGTCGTACTATAAAGTTGTTCATATATACAATGTCATTGCGAAAGCAAAAAACGATGATACAGTGCACATTGTTGTCATCTGGTGGTACCAGGGGCTAGATGTGCTAGCAACCTCCAGACAGAAAAGGTAAAGAGTGGGTACGTTGTGGAAATTTCCAAAATTGAGTCTTCCAGTTGACGGCAAAGTCTCGAGGACACTATGCAAGTGGAGCAAAACATCAAGAGCTTTTTACACATTCCAACAAAAATGTCGCTAATTTGAAACGGACAGTTTCCAGAGTGGCTGAAACAAAAGTCCACTGCCTCGTTTCAAAGACGTACCTTGTAGCGGTAGAGTGGTCGTGTCGTACTTTGTACACAGAGCTTCGAGTGTTTGGAAAACACTTGCCACGGCCTCGACTGCCTGGACATCCAGCAGAGCCAGGTCTAGATAAGAGAAGAAAAGAGAAGAAAATGCTTGCAAGCAAACATAGACAGGCGGCTAAAGGAGTGTTTGTTGTAGTGGCCAAAGTGGCCGCATGTCAAAGACAACTAGTATACACCCAGGACAAGCACCTAAAGCCAATGTTAGCACCAGAAATGAGATCAGATGCTTGGCCATGGCTGCGATCTCTGCTAGCTGACCTTGCGTTGATCGAGACAGCATCCCGGCACAGTTTACGACGGTGGCGATGAGCTGCTGTGCTGACTGACTGTAGAGATCTGGTACTGAGCTTAGGCAGCACACCAGGGAGCACAGGGTATCAAAATGTGGCTGCAGGGGGGTGTAGAGGATGGATGAAGGGGGGAAGAGGGTGTGGGACTGAATCAGGCACCTCTGGGTCGTGATGTGACGAAATCCGAGAAATTACACACTTCAACAGGTCGTTGCAAGCCTCCACCAGCTCTGCTCGGTACAGCCTCATCCGTGGAGCACGGACCGCTTCTGGAAACATCCAAAATGGTTTATATTTCTGTAACGGGTCGTGAAAAACTCAACGTGGAGATGCAAAATTTTTGTGCAATACGTTTTATCAGGTAACTTTACAAATTATCTTCCCCAAAATTTCACATTCAAAACTTTCAGATGCAAAATTAATGTTCTCCCTAAAAAATTCCCCTAGTGTAGAACTCAGCAGGATGCCTTTCAAACTGTGAATTTAAAGTACTGTATAATATAGTGGTTAGGAAACCTGCTGTTCACCAACTATGGTCTCAGTGGCAGGTAGTAGACGGTTGAGGGAAGGAGGCAGGGATGGGAGAGATGAGGATTCCAGTACCTCAGACAGACCTTCAGAACATAATTAACACAACAGCCTAATTACTAACATACATGGTGTTAGAAAGGGTATATATATATACAATAGAACCTCTTACATTTAAGGTCCCAAATTGTCATTTTCTATTATATACCTCCAAAGAGAGGATAACCTCCCTATGAAGGACGATATGCCTGATCCCATGTCCATTATTCGGAAGTTCCACTGTATACTAAAGTCCCTACTGTTACATACCTCTGGTGGCAGTGATAATAGTGTCCCTGACAGTGGTTCGCAGGTCAGATTCAGTCAAAACTGATAGCTTCCGTCTTGTTTCTAAAACTGAGGATACTGAGAAATAGAGTGAAAGAGGGAGGGGGTGAGAGCAACGTTAAGATGTCTGTGATCGCAGGGCTCACCACTAGAGAGGAACTTTATGTGGGCTGCAATTCTCTCAGTCTTGGGGTGATCACTTCTCTTCCCTGATGCTTGTTCATCTGTCCCCTGCATATAAGACATCATCTGAAATATAATGGCACACTTTATGGCGTAGCTACCATCAGTTCCTGGCTAGTTGTTGGAGCAGAAGATGAGTATCCTGAAGATTGCCAGTCGCTATCACTTCCCCCTGTATCCAGCAACAATAAACGATACCATTGGTGGCAACTTAAATGTGGCTGTTTTACCCGACACTGTGTGTGAGAGAGAATGTCTAAAGTGCCTGTGGGACTGCCGGCCAACTTACTACTCACAAGCCATCAAAATTAGAACCTAATTCACTAACCGCCAAAATGTGGGTATAACAGCCAAACTATTCAGCTACATATATGATATGGTAACAGTCTCTGTTGTATGCTAATAGTATATACCTCCTCTGGTGGCGTTAGTGTGGGTGAGGGCTTCTGCCTGGATCTGGAACTTTGTCAGTTCCTGTCTGGTCCTCAGGAGCTCTCCCTCCAGCTGGAGGGCCTTCTCCCTCCAATCCTGCTGCAGTTGGCTGAACTGGAGGGCCAGTCGCTCCGTGTACTGCCTGACACACACCCCCTCTGGTCTTCTGTCGGATGATAGCTACTGCCTGGGAGTGGGGAGTTATGGCATCTGTGTGTGTGTGTGCTAAATCACCGACCAATGCTACTTTCATGATCTTTATGTGGTAGGGTAGGAATCTAGGAATGGAGCTGTGATGATCAGAGTCCATTTCTTCTGAGACCATCGGGTTGCCAACTGCTGCTCTTGTCTTCTCCCCATGTGCGTGCTTGTCTTTGGTTTTCCCGCCACTTCCGCGCGCGCAGTATAGGCCGGCCACGCATGCGCGACCTACTGAGCCCCACCCCACTTTTCCCCTTGGCTGCAATATAAGTGTTTGGGGACTAGCCTTGCGATCGTCATCTGCCCCTTCCCCCACGTACGCTTGTGTGTTCTGTCTTCTCCCACACGCGCCCTTACCGAGTGTGTGTTGTACCGGACCAGCGGTGATCGTACTACCAGATGCCGCGGTGATATCCAGGTAAAAGGTGAGTCGATTCATACTCCAAACTTTATGAGTTTTAGTACCGTTTCATTGTTTGATCGCATCAGGTGCGTTGTGGCAGATATACTACGCCGGTTAAATGCTTAGCTAAATGGCACTTTTGCTAGCTGGTAGAAGTGCACCATTTCTCGTTTCCAGACACCAGTGGGCTTGGTAGAGCAACAAATGGTGGACAAAGATGTATAGGGTAAAGAGGCTGTCACAATGGGTGAAAAGGACTGCAGATTACGGCAGTGTATTGCGACAAATAGAGCTCTGTTCATGGACAGACCTTCCCCATACACTTTAGCTATTGCAACACACTGATATCACGGTATCTGCCCACTGCGATAGCCAACCAATTTGTGGCCACGGCGACTGCGTTTTTGCTGCAAAACTACGGCAAGTTAAAGATCACTATAATATATCGCTTCATTCATTCTTACGCACCTCATCTAATGCTCAATATGCCTCACAAGGTCTGGACATAGAAGGATAAGCGTGGTGTAGAGAGGCCAAAAAGAAGCTTGCTTATTAGACACCTGTACTAAGCCCTGCAAGCCTATTTCATTCTGGCAGTGGGCAATGAGCCCAAATTCATGTGGTTGACAATCTCATTCAGAGCCTCTGTGACTGCCAACCAGGTACACCAAAAACTGACTTACTACCGCTGTAAAGTCGATGTAGCCTCCAATTCTGACATCATTTAATGCTGTCTGTGCCCATTATAACAGCATTTGAGCCCTGTTGGGTCTGTCTATTAGTAATGTTTACCTTTTACTGACCCGATTTGACATCTGGAAGGAAACACGGTCACAACTATAGGGGGCCTGGTCTCTATGACCATAAGGTTAACTTCAGCAATGACTATGACTAGTGATGGTAGCAGAGTGACGTGTAGTGAGACTTACAAACCTTACGTCGTGTTTGGCTATAATGGTACACTGGCAAACTGCTGAAGAGTGCAGATCCGAACACTAATTGTGTTTATGCTGTAGTAGTGCCTGTACTTGTAGTATAGATCCTTTTAGCAGCATGTATTGTGTATCATACACCTAACCACAGCTGAGACGTCCTAATAACTTCAAACGTCTTAGAGCCAGCTAACCGTATGGTACAACAAAATAGTGTTCCTAAATTTCTACGTATATCTCTTCAAAAGCGGCAAGCCCCTATACAAATTTGCTATAATTAGTATAGCACGCGTAGAACATCTTGTTTGATCACACTTTGAGAGAGTCTCTTTGCTAGATTCTGGTCAACAACGCCTTCCGTTGTCTCACAAGAGCCAGCATGTTAGAGGAAGAGATAGAAGATGTAGAGCTGTCGTCTCGCGGGGACTACGATGGCCCGGTGACCTTCCAGCCGTTCAGCGACAACGACACGACCACTCTGTTCCAAGATCTCGAGAGAGAGCTGGAGAAGATGGTCCAGAAATACCGAGTACCTCCGACCGACCTTGAGAACCTGTTCCAGGTTAGAACCTAGAGAGAAAGAAACACGAGAGTGTAGTGGACGCCCAGTAGGACCATCCATTGCAATGGCATAACAGAGAGACATGTTATGTTGGGCATAACAGAGGGAGAGCTGCTGCTATGTTGATGTGTAGGTTTGTCAGAACTCTTTGAAATATGATGGCACCGAGTCGATAAGAGACGTGAGGCTGAGTCATTACTTGAGGAGCAGAAGAGAGAACTGGAAGACCTGTGGAAGAACGAGAAAGACAAATCTAAAGTGGCACAGCGGGTAAGTTCTTCATCTATATATGTGTACAGGAGATCCTCCATTAACCCTTACTGAGAGCTAAATCATACAGAACAGCCAAGAAGCTCTGATAGATCTCTGTAGGAAGAGTGTTCTATAGACCAAGAGAGCATTTGGGTCACACCTATCTAAAATTTTGAATATTTTTGTTTACTTGGGTGTTTAAAATAAAGATTCTGTTGTCCTAGAATGTATTAAATTATGTGCATTTGCCTTTGGTCCTCAACATCTGTGTCTAGCACAGAGAAAGTTGGAGCTGGAGTGTCGAATGGAAGAAGAGAAGCTGAGGCTGCGATTCTGGGAGAAGGGAAGGGGCCCCTCTCACTGAGAGTGACCAGCGGCATCTCTACAGACCAAACTGAAACAGGCCATTGAGCACAGTCAGTGCTTCATTGTGTGTGTTACGTGTGTTACGTCTCCTATTAAGCTTGCCAGCAGTGAGTACCTGAAACAACTGACATTGTCTGTCATTTGTCACGTGGGTTACTAACCAAGCAGCATAGCACCGTTAAGGCAGTTAGCGTGCAACAGTGTTTGAATGGCATGATGTGTTAAGAGGCTACTGACTCTTTACACACTGATTTCTCTCGCTCTGCAGAATCGTTTGTTGAACAGGAGCTGATCCGCCTGAAGGAAAAGACTGTTAGAGATGAACAAGCCCGGAGAGACGTATGTGAACCATTATGCAAACACACCACAAATTCATAAAAACACCTGAAACTGGGGAAATTTCAGCAGCTCCCAATTGTAGATTCATAGTAGCTGTCTCCTGTGCTGAATAACTAACCGTTTGACTTTGATAATCGCACTACAGCTACTATGATTCTTGGTTGGTATATCTCAACAGTTAAATATTCAGAACAACGTGCACAGTCACTATTAATCTACAACAGTCTGTATTGAATGTGCTACTACTGAGCTCTGTGTAACTCCGACAGCTACTGGACATCTACAAGAACCAGCAGTACGACAAAGCCCGGCGCTCCTCTCTCAGACGAGGAGCCTCCCTCAGGTCCGTCCACCGTAAGCTCCCCATCGTCCCCAGCTCCTGGGAGCCCGGTGGCGGGCACCTCGGCTTCAAACAGACTGAGAGAATACAGACCACTCCCGACTCATTCCAGTCCTCTGAGGACTCTTTTCCACACAGTGTTGCCTCCGGGACAGGTGTGCTCAAAATTCTACTTATTTTATCACCCATTAGATGGCCAAAGTGCTATGCCTGCCACCTGAGTAGTATTATCACCCATCCTTGCAGACCTGTAAACCTCTAAACCTCTTCTCCTTCTTTCTCGGTCTTCCTCAGGTACCAGGTGTAACTTAATGGGTGTCTGGATTATTTAAGCGCCCAGAAGTAGCTCTGTTTAAGTGCTTTAAAGTGTAAAACCTATAGGTAGCTTGGCTAGCATTTAGTAGCATGGATAGCACCTTTTCTCTCTCTGTGTGTGTGCAGGATCAGGGGCAAGTGAACCACGCAGTCGAGGAGTGTCACAGAGCGTTAGCTCGTCAGCTGCACCCTTTTCACCGCCGCATGCCACTGCCAATACTTTGGAGATGGAGCTGGAGAGGGAGAGAGGGGAACAAGAGAAGGAGGTGGAAAGAAGTATGTTAGTACAGTGGAGCCTTCTCTATGTACAGCAGGATAGGGGAGATAATTATTATTGTGACACATCACTCTCTAATAAAGATGCGTTTTCCATAAGAACAGTTGAATGCTTGTAATCACCCTGAAAAATATAACTAATAAGGACTCTTCCGTTGTAGTCCATAACTACTGTAGCTACTGTATGTTTGTTTCCACAGCTGAAGGAAGCGAGAGAGAGCAGCAGTACACTAGGTCTTATTCTGGCTTTGGCGAAAGCTATGAAGAGATGGTGAGTTCCTTGTATCTCAACAGACTGTAGTTTGATGCGCAGTGGTGTGTGTATATGTGTGCAGCCAATGGGGATGCAGCCCCCTCCTCCCCCTGGGCCGGCAACAGCCTTGTCTTCCTCGGAGGAGAGTGAGGACGAAGGAGCACCAATTGCACCCGAGAACAGAGAAGAAGGTGAGTGGGTGGTTGGATGAGGGAGAGCAGAACCCACCCCCGAGAGGAAGCTTCAACTGGTGCATCGTAAATTATAATATACAGTTTCTAGCAAGCCAAGAGGATACAACATGATCATCAAACTGTAGCAAAGCACCTAGTCCTCATCGTTCAAACCACTTTTGTCCAACACTGCTCCCTCCCAAGACTAAAACTTAGCGGCTCGGTTAAGGGAACGTGGCATTACATAAGAGAAAATGGAAACCACTGGGCCCTATTGCTATCTATAGCCTTTATGTACTGCGACATCAAGAAATAGGAACCACCAGCTACAACTGAAACACTGACCTTTGCTGTACATGTTCTCGGTCCCTCCTCCCTCTCCTGCTCCCCCCCTCACCAGGAATGTCACTGGAGGAGGAGCTGATGGAGGTAGTGAGTCCGGAGCTCATGGCTCCGGCCCGGGCCGAGCTGGAGATGCTCCAGAAGGAGAAGGAGAGCTGGAAGGAGGAGAAGGAGCGTCTGGAGAGGGAGAGGGGAGAGGCTCGGAGTGCCAGAGAGACATTGGAAGGGTAATAAAACAGTTTGAGCTGTGCTGTTTGGTGAGGTACCTCTTCTCTCTCGTGCACAGGCAGTACGCTCAGCTGCAAGTGGAGTACCAGCAGATTCAGAGCAAGCACAATGAGATGATGGAGGAACTAACTGGGTGTGTGATACCACCTCCTTCTCTCTTCCTCACCTTATTCTCTTCTCAAACCTCTCCTTTTATCTTCCTACTATACTCTACCCTTGGTCCCTTCTTATTTTGCCACCATTTTCCAACTATTTCTCTCTTCCCATCTTTGTTTGTCTCTAGAATAAACGCCATTCATGTTGAATTAAAGTAGTAATGCAAACTATTACTCCCCCGCTGCCTTGCCTCAGTGTCCGTCAGGAGAGAGACGAGGTACTGGAGATGTATTTGGACCAGCCATTTGACGATTACTGCATCACGCGTAAGGAGCTGCTGGGCCTACTGCGCCGACACCACAAAACCACCATCGAGCTCGAGAGAGAGAAAGAGGAGAAACAGAGGTTTGTCCTGGAAACTTGGTGTGTATACAGTATCTCTATCACTGCACCCACACACGTACTAACACACTTTGTTCTCCATCTCTGCAGACTTCAAAACCTCTTGGATGCCAAGAAATCCTTATTTGAGAAGTACGACATCACTAATCACATGATTGACTATTATTATATTCACTAATACAAGTTGCATGATAGTTATAGGTTCTATACACCCACCCCAAATGCCTCTGTCGCAGGTTCAAGCAGAGCATGAAGAGATGTTTCAGCTAGTGTCCTTCGCTATCTCGCGGCCTTAAGCCTTGCGTGGGTCGGTGACTCTCTTTATCGTTGGGGGCCGTCGACAAGCTCCACCTCCTCCGATCATTTCTCTCGGGTGGATGGATTACATAACCCTTCCCTCGCGAGCGACCAGACTCCTTGTACACCATGCAGTGCAAACTTTCTCGACGAGGTTAGTCACTACCGCCCGACGCTCAACACGCGTTCTCTCCCACCTTATGCCTACCACTACTGTAACCCACTCTGTATGGGCCTTTCGGGCTGTGCTCTCTATGATGGAAGCGACCAGTTATTGCCAAAATTTTTTCCAAGCATAAAACAGCAGTGTCCCGCTTCTGACGCTCGCTGCCTAATTCTCAGTCTCACAAAGAATATTGTTCACAACAGAGGTAATCACTATTATGGCTGTATAAAAAAACAAAAATGCTTCAATATTAGTTATCCTTCGAAGCAATATGCTACTAGTAGTTTGATCAATGTTGCTTGTGTGTAGTTTCTCTGGCCTTCATATCCTACCAAGTTCTGTTCTCTTTAATATTATTGTGTGGTTGGTGGGGGGGAGTCCGCGCTATGGGCCGTATGAGTTAGCAGTGCCTCTCCCCCCCTCTTTTTCCCCCACATGCGTGCCCACGTGAGCTGTCTCCTCCCCCTGCCCTGCCTCCATCCCCCTCACGTTCGCACTCGTGGCCCGTGCATCTCGCGGTCTGTCACTAGGCGCCCAATCCGAGCGTCTGTGTCTGTGTTCTCCAGGAGACCGTAGTCTTCTCCTTGTACTCACACTCCCCTAGTTTCGACTTGGACGTGCGTGGACAGGAGTCTCTCCCGCTCAATTGGCATTTGAGTACTTGAGCGGGTGATCGCCCCCCACAAATTATTTACTACAACTCTACATGGAAGTGCTTACCAATCCTTGCACCTGTCACAACTTGATTTCTAGGTACAGTTTTGAGCTGTTTAGATGTATTCTCTACAGCTAAGGTGCATTGGTGTGGTGCCACGAGGTCGCTATTTGTCTCCCTCTCGACTATTTGTATTGCCGCGCTTTTGTGCATGCGTATTGCTTCAGTATTCACTGCTTGTCTAAATGCTGGCCCTAGCATTTTCACTATGTTCACAGTCACACACCCCTATGCGCGCTTTCCGTCTGCCCATTTTGTTGGTGCTTGTTTCCTTCCGTTGTCTTCCCTGCATTACTTTCTCTGGCTTTTTCGAGCAGTTCCACTGGCGTTCGCCCGTCCTTTCGTCCCGTTCCGTGCGCAACGGGTCTAGCTCTGCGACACTTCCTTTTCGCGAGTCGTTGCGCCTATTTCCTGTACAGCCGCTTCAGCCTGTTACGCTCTTTGATCTTATTCTCCCCCGACCTCTAGCGTGCATTGCCCCCTTAACTCTGTAATGAGCATCTTTCGTTCTGTCTTTGCCTTCGTGGGGTCGCGTCCTTCTGCGCACAAAGTGTATTTCACAAGCTCACGTCCTCGGTTGCTGGCCCTTCTGTCACTTCTCTTCGCCGTTGGCTTCGGTCTTCTCCCTACAAATATCGTGGAGTGGGTGTGCTAGCGTTCTTTTTGGTCGCTTTCTGCTTCGTCTTTTCTCTGTGTCTCCCGACCTGCGAACCCTTGAGTTGGACCTTTGTCGAGCGTTTTCCGCGTTGCGGGCTTGCGCTTTTGTTTTTCCTCCTCCTCTCTCCTTCTCTCTTTTCTCTGTCTCCTTCCATGCTCCCCTTTATGACCGTTTTCGTCCCCTTTCCCCTTCCTCCTCTATTCTCCAAATTCGTTTTGTCCTTCCCCCTCTCTTCCTTTCTCTGTGTCTTTACTTGTTTTTCCTATCGCCCTTCGTCCCCTCCGCTCCTTCTTCAGTTTTCCTCCCGTCTCCTTCCCGCTCCCCGCCCGGCTCCCTCTCTATTGTTCGTTCTCCCCTGCTTCGCCTTCCTTGCTCTCCTTCTTTTCCGTTGTCTATTATCATTGCCCTCTCTTGT